ACTCCCGTTTCTTAGATGATTAACCAAATTATGTTGATAAAAAAATTGGTTAAAATTAGTTAGAAGGAATAAATTAAATATGCAAAAGTTACAATTTATTTTCTAAAAATAACCTTTGAAAAAAAGGCTCTCATAAATAGGAATGGAGGGAGTAGTATAAATACCCCTTTCATCCCTTATTATAAGAAACAATCATCAAAATCATGCAGATGAAAATGTTACTTAAATTTAGTTAAAAGTAATAAATGTATAAGATATATATATATGTTTCCAATTATACGTTTATTTGTAAAGAAAGCATATGAAAAATAATGAGCGTACACTGATTACAAAGAGATAACAAGTACTCGTAACATATATCTAATGGGGTAAAAGTGAAAACACAAGTTTAAAATTTCAAATGAAAAGAATTTATTTATTATATTATTTAAAGATGGAGAGAGTAAAACGTAAAAGTGTATCGCTCAAGTGAACCCACTTGTCTCTTAATTTGCCCCTCACCAAACTTAACTCTTCCTTCAGTTTTCTCCTTTTGGTTTCATTAAGTGGCGGCCGAGCTACGTCTCTGGAATAGAAGACTGTTCGGAATAGCGAAGAGGAGTGTGTGGGCGATTAAGCTGACGAGGTCCATATATGCCCATGCACATTATAGCTTGATAGGGCCTGTTTGGATGTATCTTCAAACCATGGTTTGGAGACCCAAACCATGGTTTGGGGAAAATACCATTCAAACAGCAGTAGAAAATATAAAACCATGGTTTGGAGTCAAACCATAGTTGGAAACTCCAAAACCATGGTTTTACCAAAAGCATCTGGGAGTTGCTTCTGACTTAAATTATTGGAACGTTTGGCGTGGGTCTCATGGCAAATGACCGAACAACCCCCAATAATTGATGCCTTCAGCCCTTCATTCCTCGGTCCTTCACTCTTCACTCTCGTTCTTCCTGCTGTGCTCTTTCCTCCATCACAAGGATAATTTAATATTATGTTTTATAAATACACACACATATTAATTAATTATTAATTATATTATCTTATATATTATTAATTATGTTAGTAAAAATTATTTTATTAACAATTTTATTTCTTCAAATCAAAATATATTAAAAAATGTATTCCTTATATAATTATCATATTAACTTATACCCTTTTTAGTAATTTGCACATGTAAAAAATACTTCTAGTAACAACTATCCAAACACTCTCACTTCTCAGAATCACTTTTTCACAGAATCTATTCTTCATAAAATCTATTCTCCCCAAAATTTATTCTTTAAAAGCTATTTTTCAAATTATAGTTTGGTTTCATCCAAATACCTTTTAAAAAGGAATAAAGATCTATGGTGGAGCTTGGAAGCGATGGCTAGCTTGCGGGCAAAACACTCCCCCCCCCCCCCCGGTGGGGGGTGATGGCGACCTAGCTATATTCTATCCCCCGAGATATAGAAAAAGCCCGTAATTAATTCTTCTGAAAACCAGAAGAAAGGACGCAAAGTGAATTGCGGCTAACGGGGACGGAGCCTTCTCTTTTGTCTTTATTGTGCTATTATTGCATATAGAAACAACAAACACGGGGTAAACCCAAGCGACATTTTACTGGAGGAATTATGTATATGTTCCATATAGAAAGGGCAACACAAGAAAATTATGTTATTAATATTAATTGGAATGTGTGTGTGTGTGTGAGAGAGAGAGAGAGAGAGAGAGAGAGAGAGTTGTAAGGCTTATAAAAAACCACTCGGTGGTTGACACATCATAAAGGACACTGGGGCTCAGAAGAATTTAGGTTACGTTGGGTAGAAGGGATTGACTTTTGATGAAATGGGAATGGTAATGAGATGAGAATGGTCATGGTAACGGGATTGGAAATAGAGCTTTTATTTTATATTTGCTAGGAGGTAATATGTGGAAGGAATACGTGCATATATTTTATTTTATAATAAGAAATATAAAATTAAAAGACTATAATACCCCCTGGTGTTTTAGAGTTGAAGACTCAACCTTATGCACTCTTTTTCTAATAAAAAAGACACCGCATGCTCATATACATTGTTTTGAAAATAAATACATTAAATTTTGCCTCATTTTACAATAAAAAATAAATAAAAATAAATTAATATTTTAAAAATCAGAAACGGCATTCTATCGTATCCCAACAAATTTATGTATAAAAAGGTAATAAAAAATCAATACTTCCTTAAAATTTATCCCAACAAATTATTAATAATTCCTTAAAATTATTAAATTTTGATTCAAAAATTTATCACATACTGGGTCATTAAAATTATAATTTTCTTAAAATTTAGTAATACATTTTGAAATTGATAACATATATGCATGTAAGATTAAAAGATAAGAAGCAACAGGTCTTACTATAATTTTCTGTAATATTAGTTCACGTAAGTAAGATAATCCATATCTTACTTCAAATAGTCATAAAAATATTTCTGTCTAAAATAAATTATTTTAAATATGTAATAAAATATTCTTGTCTGAAACAGAATATTTCAGGTCTATAACAAAATATCCCTGTCTGAAACAAAACATTTTAAATCTGTAACATTATTGTAATATGGGTATTCTTGTCTTTTAAGCTTTTTAATTCCTGGACTCAAAGGCGTTACCAGGGGAGAGGGTGGGATTATATAATCCCACCAATGTGGCATTGTTCAGTACCTGGTAATCTTCAATCTCTCGTACCAAACATGAAAAAATCATCCAGTCCCTCTTCCAATCCCATTCCCTCCCCCTCAATCTGTCTTACCAAACGTGGCCTTAGTGTATGTACTAGGAATGGCACAAGTTAACACGAGTTACCCCTGGGAAGGTGTCGTCCGGCCCATAGAGAAGTGTAAGATATGATTGAAATAAAGCATATGAGTTACGCATAGGGCCCTCAATAAAAGATGATGCCTGACACGTGGCATACAGGCCGCGATTGATGATGAATCAATTCAAAGGAAATCCAAATTGATATGAACACAGCACCATTATGAGGCAATCACTGGCTCTCTGTGCTCAGTTTATAGCCAATATAAGAAGAAGACATGGCTTTGGATTATATAGTTGACATATAGTGATAATAGGGTTAGAGAGAGGGATCTTTATTTAGTGTTAATGGAGAAGAGGCAACAAGTGGTTCATTACATCACAGAGCCTTTATCTCTCTATCTGATATGTATTATGAAGGAGTTTTGGTTGAAGTGTACCAAGGGAACCTCCACGCAATATAACCGTGTAATGTGCCAGTGGAATGCATGGCATGGTGACTTATATGTGCCTTTATATATCTTTATTGGATACAATCATCGACGGCTACTTTAATTTTCAAGGGCCAACCTTGGCTCACTCATTTGCATAAAGCCTTCGAATGCTTATCCTCTGATTGTGAGTCATCTGTTTCTGCCATTATCTTCTTCCTCTTTCCCTCCCCTTTTTCTCTTTTCACGATTGGTTATTTTTTTTTTAATTCAAAACATATGCTTAGATGGAGTTCAAATCAACTTACGATTTTGATATAACTACCCAGCTCAAGTGCCTATTAATTAATTAGTGTGTGCGCGCGCGTCTGCGCGCGAAGTGTAAGGCCTATAAAAACCCCCTCGGTGGTTGACACATCATAAAGGACACTGGTGGCCCCAGAGAATTTAGTGTTAACAGTGGAGAGATGAAAATAAGAAAATGAAATCTAGAAAGCAGTGAATAAAAAAATCTCCAAAAAGTTGGGGCTAATTGGAAGAAGAATTTTAGAGGGAGGGCAAAGCAAACTAAAGGAAATGAAGGAGGTGGGGGCATGAGTTTTGTGTACCCCATAGCCTCCGAAAGCAACTTCTAGGAATTCAATCGTCACTTAGAAGCTCTTACCTTTATGGAGATGGGAGCTTTCATAAAAGCTTAAATATACACTTGTACTGTTTATACCAGGGGAGACTTTTCCAAGACGTAATAAAGTAAACAACAAAAAGTTCTTCCTTTTGTTAAAAGTTTTCCAAGACTTTTCCAAGATGCAATTCCACATACATACACACACCCATGTCTATCCCATTGCCATGCCCCCCCCCCCCCGCCAAAGCTCCACTATATATATCCCTCATTTCTGTCATGTTTTATTCAGTCCCATAGGCAGCTAGAGAGAAACACAGTTCTCCCCAGATTCACCTGAGAAAAGCCTTCCTTCCTGAGAAAAGCCTTCCTTCTCTTCCTTCATTTCTCTAGGGAATTCTGATTGATTCCTACCGCAGAGTTCTCCACAAGTTGTACATCCATACAAACAAGAGGGAGAAAGAGGCACAAGAGGTCATAGCCTTGAGCCTTCGCTGCAAGAGAGAGAGAGAGGGGGGGGGAGAGAGAGAGAACTCAGTATCACTTCTTTTCCACACAAAGAGGGAGAGACATCATCTCCAAACACAATCTAACAGGCGCTTCACCAGCACCAGTTGGCTTTCATTTTCGGCCTCCTAGGTATATACATCTATTGACTATTGCACGTTTTTCCCTTATAACTTTACGTATTATATTCATCGTCGCTTCAGTTTGTTAGTTTCACGTCCTCTTATATTCCTCGTCATCCATCTTCTTCTCTCTTCTTGTTATTCTTCTTCTCATACAGCATATAGTTAATTGCATGGCTTTTGTTATCTCAAATATAGCTTTTAAAGGGAAATAGATGTGATGGGCTTGAAGCATGCTGATTTTTGCTATGTACATATTGCTGGGAAATTTTATTGCTCAAAGACTTGTCATCCTGATATGTCTAGAATGAAGCTGATCGATTTCTCTTGTCTTTATCGTGCTATTATTGTAAGCAACATCATCTCTTTCATGTTGGTTTCATGCAGGCAACATCACCACTTTTCAAAGTCGAAATCCTTCGTACTTTCTTTAGTTTAAAAGGGTAATTTAAATCATCCAACATGAAACCAAAATGAAGTTTCGGGACTTACATGGGAGCAAGGAACACCATGTAAGATTATGAGGGAAAAACGTGTAATAGTTAATGCATGTATATACCTAGGAGGCCGAAGATGAAAGCCAATTGGTGCTGGTGAAGGGCCATGTTAGATTGTGTTTGGAGATGATGTCTCCCGCTTTGTGTGGAAAAGAAGTGATACTGAGTTATCTCTCTCTCTCTCTCTCTCTCTCTCGCGCAGCGAAGGCTCAAGGCTATGACCTCTTGTGCCTCTTTCTCCCTCTTGTTTGTATGGATGTACAACTTGTGGAGAACTCTGCGGTAGGAATCAATCAGAATTCCCTAGAGAAATGAAGGAAGAGAAGGAAGGCTTTTCTCAGGTGAATCTGGGGAGAACTCTGTGTTTCTCTCTAGCTGCCTATGGGACTGAATAAAACATGACAGAAATGAGGGATATATATAGTGGAGCTTTGGGGGGGGGGGCATGGAAATGGGATAGACATGGGTGTGTGTATGTGTGTGGTATTGCATGGACAATATTGAGACTAATGAATAAGTGATGATTGAATTCCTGGAAGTTGCTTTCGGAGGCTATGGGGTACACAAAACTCATGCCCCCATAATCGAAAATATATTAAATTGCCAACTCATCGCATTATTGAGGATGTCGCAGGCCGACATTCTACAGAGTGTATAAGAAGAAGACGACGGAAGGGTTTCAATCGTTGCCATGTATAGCAGCGCTCTTCAGTGCAATGCTATGGCTGTTCTATGCATATGTGAAGACGGGAGAGACTCTCCTTATCACCATCAATGCGTTCGATTGCGTGATCGAGACCATTAACCTTGCCATTTACATCACTTACTGTCCCAAGAAAGCTAGGGTCCGTCTCTCTCTCTCTCTCTCCCGCTCTCTCTCTCTTCATGTCTCTTTCTCAGTTCCCTCATCATGAGGTTCTGATTAATATATGATTGATCTCGCAGATGTCCACGTTAAGACTGATTCTTTTGATGAACTTTGCGGGATTTTGTGTTATTTTCCTCTTAACTCATTTGCTCGCCAAAGGACCTGCGGCTCGCGTGAAGCTTCTTGGATGGATCTGTGTGGTCTTCGCCACCAGTGTTTTTGCGGCCCCTCTAAGCATTATCGTGAGTATTATTTAATTATCCTGCTTTGAAATATGGTTTGTTACCTTATATATTATTTTTTGAGATATTTATGAATTTTGAGTTGTTCATTTCATTTCCAGAGGGTGGTCATCCGGACAAAGAGCGTAGAGTTCTTGCCCTTCCCTCTTTCGCTTCTCCTAACAATCAGCGCTGTTATGTGGCTCATGTATGGACTTGCCCTCAAGGACATCTATGTCACTGTCAGTTTCTAGAACTCTTGCATTTATTTTCTCTTTTGTTGAAGGATTTGGTTTGTATTCTTTAATTATTAGGATATTTCCCCCAAATTTTGTGGGTATAATAATAATGATGATGATGATAATACAAAAAACTCGAGAAAATTCGAAAAATTTTTGGATGGTCAAATTAATCACATACCCTGCCTTCTGATTCATTTTGATTGTGTCTTGTCGTTTTCACAAAATATATAAAATAATAATCAGAATTTGGTTTCATGCGTGGACAGCTTCCCAACGTTGTAGGGCTATCGTTTGGGATCGTACAGATGGTTCTGTATGCAATGGACAGAAAGAACAAGCCTGTGAAAGACGATAAGCTCCCCGAACAGAAGGGCGAAGTAATGAATGAAAACAAAGAGGAAGCAACTAATGAGAACAAGAAGGTCGGTGAGGAAGAGAAACACGAAATGGTAACCATCGAGATCGGAGAACAGAAGAAAGACGAAGAAGAAAAGCTGCAAGAAAAGGAACAAATAGAACAAGAGCAACCTCAAAACAAGCAAGACCAAACAAAGGTTAACGACGTCGACGACAAAGCCAGACCAGCGGTGGAACCCTCCTTTATTGAAATACCACCACAGCAGATGGTGGCTTGCGAAGTTTGAGGAGAGAACAGGACACATATACGCGCTCGCGCGTGTTTTCAGGAATCCTGTCCTCTCTCTCTCACTCTCAGATTGTCTCTCTGCGACCGCCGCACCGCATGGGCTCTTGAATTTTCGTGTAAAATTGTTAAAGCCTCATGATTAGTGGGGAGGCCACAGATGATGTAGTTAATTAATATGGTTCCATTTTTATCTTCACCTGTTACTTTTTATCTTGTAGGATTTAATTTTCTATGACACTACGTAATAGTCGCTTATATATGTAAAAGCATGTTATATTGTTGATAGCAGCCTACATCGCAGGCGCCGAGTCTGCATGGCAGAGATATGATTCTGATTTATGTTGAATACAATTCCACCTTTTCCTTCTTTATGTTGTTTTGATAAAGGGGAAAAAAATGCTTTTTTCCTTTCTTCATGTTGTTTTGATAAAGGGATTTTTGGTGTTTTTTGATCAGATCCCTTGATTGTAGGAGTGGTTGGTTGAGGTTTGTTCGTATCTCTAATTTCTTTCCGCCAGTGGTGACTCTACTTTCAAAAGTACCACTAATTATTATTTATCTGTTTTTCAACCCTAATGATCTTAAGATTTCGTCACCTAATTATAGTGCACTTCTCTTGCCCATTCAATGCATACTGATAAACGCACTGGAATTAATTTTTTACTCTTTTTTTAGTGCAGATTGAGCTCTGTGAATCACATTAGACCCGCCGGCTAGCTGATTTGATCAAAACATATGTATTGCAAAAATTCTTCCAACAATATAATATTTTCTTTTACATAAAATTTAAATTCAAGGCCTTGTTTCAGAGAAAAATTAAATGCTCAACTGCTCGAACTAATTAATGCTGGTGCTTCAGCTCTTCTTTACGCTTTTTTTTTTTGGGTCAAATTCTATTATTTAACCTCTCCTTCTATTCACGACTAAGGAGTGGTTAGGAGTTTGATTTTTAATCTGTCTCGAGCAAACCTCATTGAAAAGGGTGGTCATTTACTTTCATCGCAAGATGTACTTTTAAAAATGTAAATCCTTGACAAAATCTACTCTTATTGTTTCACCAAAATTAAAACAACGCAAGATTTACTGGTTATTACTTATTAGTCATTGTCCTCCTACTTGTTAAATTAACTAAGTTTATCCTTTTAATTTTTTATTTCCTTAATTTCTGCCTACCAAGCTCCTTTAGAGGTGTTGATTGTATAACTAAGATTGATCGAAGCCCACTCACTAAGTATTATTAATGGATCCTTTTTTTTTTTTTTTTGCTTACTTAAGTATATATCATTCTTTAAATAATAGACATCCCTAAAATAATCAAGCTTTATAACCTGCTGAGTGTTGAGCTTACGTCCCCAAACAGTAATTATTGAAATTAATTATTCATGAATTGACTTATCACGATATCATTTCCACTTATTTCAGAAAGATATGCGAATTATAAACTCCAATGACATGCAAACTTGCAATTGAAGTCCTTCCACTTGATGAAGTATTTTCGTCAACTCATCAAAAGAAAAAATCAAAACTTTTTTTAAAAAAATTGTTTACATGTATATCCTTCTGTTATAACAAATATTATTCAAGACATAGCCGTATATTAAATGTGAGCATCACTTAAAATAGGATTTGAACTTTGATACATTACATGGTGATAAAATAGTTCTTTCCACTATATATAATTTTTATTAGTAATGAAAATCGTGTCCTCCTACGTTTGGAGACATTAAAATCGCAAGTCGGCTCCACATGAATATGCCTTTTGACATGATTTAGTATCAAAAACAGAGGGACAAAGGACTCTTAGTCTTATCGCTTTGTATTGCCCCTTTGCACAAAACAGAAAAGCGAGCAACATCGTCATATTTAAAGAAAAATAATAAATAAATTATTGAAAATTATTCCATGCATGAGCACTCATATATAAAATATCATATCCTTTCCTTCCAAAAAAAGCCACACACACTTGAAATAATTGAAGGGACGCTCTTTTTCTTTACTTTTTACGTCATGGACACGGTGTTTTAAGAATTAGATAGAGACTATTATGATTTGTTTATTGCGCAATATATGAGAGAACATCAGGGGGGAAAAAAAAAATCATCATTATGTGAACCTTTTTCCTCTGAAAGCTTTTCTGGGTCTATCCGGAGCCCCCGTCACCGTGTGTCCTTTCGGCGTTGCAAAAGATCATGCGCATCCACATATTTTTCTATGTGTAGGGAATAAGATATTTATTCAAGTGAATTTCATATTCCATACTTTTACATTAAAAAGGGAGGATGATAAAATTTTAAATTTTTTTTATATGTGAAATCAAATTGTAAAACTGTTCACTATTGCAAAGTAATAAAATAATGAATCTAAAACTATTTAATTAAATAACCATCCGTATATATAATTTACCATGTTCTTGTCATATTATAATAAGATTATGGACATGCACTTTAAATAAAATTTGAGACAAGTCACACTATTTATAGTTTATGAATATTACGGATTACTATTAACTTTATGTTATAAATGGATGTACATGGATGTATAAATATTATATATATATATATATATATATATATTAGTATCGGTTAATCTAACTAGAAAAGTTGGTATTTGTAACTTTCTCAGAATATACAATTGGTAATCTGGATAAGGCACCTATATGTTGGCAAGATGCACTTTCTTCATAATGGAATGATGAATATATAAATGCTTAATATTTGATGCGAGTACAGCGTGGATTTTTTAATTTATTTGCATAAAAGTGAATCCACACAACATATTTGGAAAGAGATTAAAAAAAAACCCAACAAACAGAGAGAAGTCTAAAAATGAAATGACTAAGAATTGACAATTGACACGGTAAGGAAGTATAGAATATATTGAATATCTCAAAAAGATTGATTTTTATGAACTGCTCATTCAATTAATTTAATAATCTCAAATCAAATAAGTGGTATTTTGCTTAGACCAATAAATAGAGATGAAGTTATAGTTAAAGCTGCTAGTAGAAAACTGAAATAACTAGTTATAGTGGGCAAGAAGAGGCTAAATGAAATATGTTCTTTTTATACATATGTTTAGAAAGCACTTCCCTAAGTTTCTATTAGAAAGATAAGAAGATAAACAAAAATACCACTTGAAAAATCTAATTAAAAGTTTTTGATTCATCAATCAATCATTAGAGATGAACAAAAATATATAACATAGGTAAAAAATTCATTCATCATCTATCACATCTACACGTCAACAGATTCATCGAACAACTCTTGAGTTGAATAAACTAATATAATAAAAAAATTGTATAAAATTATATTTATATTAATATTATAAGAATAAGAACTTTGTTGTGTAATTTCCTTCAATTCAAAAAGGGAAACTCTCTTTTTCTTTGAATTAATATAGAATCAAATCAGAAAAATATCTATTTTGATCCTTTTTTTATTTTTTATTTATTAATTTGGATTGCATCTAATCCATTTATGTTAGACCAAAAGAACAGTGATCATCTGATGCTTGTTACTTGACTTTTTTATAATGATTTTAATTCATTGGATTTTGTAGTAGGTTTTACTTTTATAATATCTCTAACGAGAGAAAAAAAGGATCAAATCGCTCGAAACTAGGGTTCTACATCTTTTTCTTTTCTCTTTCTTTATTTTAATATAAAATAAAGCTCTACCCTTGTAATTGTAATTAAGTAATTAAGGCAAGAAGGAGCCTTTTGAGTGTAATACAAGAACAACAATGCGCGTGCCACAAATATTGATCTTCCTAAAAAAATGGAATTATTTGTTTTTTTTCAATTAAATACTATCTATTACTGCTATTATTATTGACAACTAACCCATTTTTTTAATGAAAAAAAAAAAAGAGAAGGGGTTCTAACAAAAAACATCTTCTACAACCAAAAAAAGTATATTTCTACATTTAGTATCTAATTGAATTGTAGAAATATGATATTCTTTCGCATTATTTTTTGTTCAACATGAAGATGCATAAAGGACATCATTTTGATTATGTACCATGTGATGCTAATCACATAACAAAAATTCCATAATTTGACCCTCACAATATTAGTCAACTAAATTAAACCAGTTTACTTGGTTGTGGTGGTGGTGGATGGTGTGCGTGCGGGGTCAAATAAGCAAAGATTTGTAAACTTCTTGTTTAAGCAAAAGAGCATATTCTTGAAGGTGATGCTGAGGAAGAATCTGCACCGTAGAAATCATGGCTTTATGCCAAACGAGTGAAGATCTGAGCCACAAAATGAGATTACACATCAAAAAGGCATTTGAAGATAGTGCGTTCTGAAAATTATTATGAAGAAGAAGAGAATCTGTGTATCTCCCAAACTCGTGTGTGGAATATATCCTTCAGAAAGTTTGGGGCAGGTGGCTTCAGTCTTTCATGTATAGAGTTGTGCTAATCTCATCCATTCTACAATGCAGTGCATTTCAGAGAGCACCACGGCAATTTTGGTTTCGATTGGATTCTCTCCATCGGGATCTCTGTTACTGTTACTGTTACTGTTACTGTTATTATTATTATTTCTTGTGTCTATACAAGTACACGCGCTTGAACTTCTGGCTCGACTTGGCCCATGTTTACTTGATCCATACCCTTTGCTCTAGAAACCCGCCGTCGTTGACAATGAAGGGGGAACTTTGTTTCAGGAGTATTTCAGGAGTATTCACGGGACGGAACCAAATTGAGACATGCCTGTTCCAATCTCGTCTTGATAAATAAGGACGGGACAGAATTTTTGCCCCAGGTCTTGTTTCCTTTTTTAAAAAAAAAACAAATACTATAATATTTTGTAGGAATTTTTTTTAATGTTATAATACTTATTTTTTTTTACCATCTAAACTATGATTTCATTATCAATATGTAATATATATGTATACACACATAAAATTAATTACCATGGTATACTGTGTTATCAATAAATCTGTAGAGTTGGTTGAAGTTGTAAAATTATGCCTGTAAATGAAAGGCATTTATCATGTGTTTTGTAGCATGAGAAAGTGAATAAGAAATATTGTTTCTTGTTTCTCTCCTTTCCAATTCTCTATTCATACTTTATAGTTCTTTCATTATGTTATTGAAAATCTTATGTTTTCTTTATTTTCATAACATTTTTTTTTGGTATTATAACTATGTATGCGAGTAACAAACGGAACATCGGAAGTTTCAGATTCTCATTTGCTCAAGCAGTTTAGTTTTAAATTTGTTCCTTTTTTCTGTTGGGCCAACAACAAGGTGTTCCGTTGGTGTAAATTTAAAACAAAATGACCAAAACAACAAGAAGTACTTTCTACTTTCGAGATGGTTTAACACACACACACACAGAGATGGTTAAACCATTGTTGACCATAGGGTAATATTCTTTTCACGCAGCACATATTATAATATTCAAATAGAAAGCAATGTCAAAATTATTGTGTTGTTTTTTGTGTGTATAATTAGATATATTTATGCATGCATCGCATAGAATTTCTCTCGTTTAGTCGAACTGATAACACACATGGCCTGGGCCAGCCCCAACTAGTTTGTACTGTTTTTTCAGTGAGAAGTTGGGTCTTAAATTCCTCCTTTTCAGGACAGGCCCATATTGAGATGACGTGACCCTCCTGCTATAGAAATTTAGACTTCAGGCGACATTTTTCTTTTAGGATAAAGTTAGGTTAAATAAGTGCTCAGGATTAGATTTAAAAAAAAAAAAAAAACTAGTCCCTCACAACATGATAGATTAAAGTTTGAATCTCTACTGGGATAAATACTCACATTTAATACTCCCTTCAGTTGAAAATATGAGTTAACATTTATTGGGGGGCTAGGTTTTTTTTTTATAAGATAACATTTTCAATTTGGTTAACCATTTAATGAATATTTTCCAATTTGACCCCTAACACATATATATTGGGTTATTGATGGCATAAATTACACAAAGTGACTGGTTTACGGGCATGGGAAGAGAGAAAAGTGTTTTAAACAAAGTGAATAGAGGAAAGAAACTTCAATAAATATTTTCCAACCCACTTTGTTTTTTGAATTGCATTTTGTTTGACTTTAATTTTCTCTACTAATTCAATTTATTCATGACACATTCTCTCTCATCCTTTGCCCTAATATATTCTCTTTCCTCCTTTTTTTATTTATTATTATTTTTACTTGTTCTCTCATTAATAAGGATGTATTTGGAAATATATAGATGCCTTACACATCTATTATTTTAAACTACTTTTCATTTCTTGATAAACGTAAATGAGCTAACTTTAGCTTATATTTTGAACTGAGAGAGCACCTGACAGTACTTCGAACATAATTACCTGTAATAGGAGGATGCCTTTAGTTATTAAAAAAAAAAGTAAGTGCTCACATTTAGTATTCAAAAGTGTCCCGAATATGATTGCTCTCAATAAAAAGTTACTCGTGTTTAGGATAACAAAAAAAAAAACTTTAGGTTGAGTTGGTTAGATTAAGGCTGTGTTTGGGTGACATCCCAAACCATGGTTTGGGGAATAAATCACCCAAACACTCACCTAAAAATCAAAACCATGGTTTTGGAAAAAGCAAAATTTTTTTGCTTTTGAAGAAAAAAGGGAGAGTGTGAGAGCTTATAAGATATGTATCTTGTTATTTTCTTTATAAACATAATTTTTTATAAACATATTTAATCTTATATTTTATAAATATATATACATATTAATTAATTATTAATTATATTATCTTATGTATTATTAATTATATTAATAAAAAATATATTATTAACAATTTTATTCCTTCAAATTAAAATATATCATAAAATATATTTTTTCTGTAATTATCATATTAACTTATGTCTTTTTTTTAGTAATTTGTATATATAAAAAGTGCTTCTGATAACAACTATCTAAACATTCTCACTTCTCAAAATCACTTTTTTCATAAAATCTATTCTTTCCAGAATTTATTCTCCAGAATCATTTTTCCAAACCACGGTTTGGTTTCATCCAAACACACCCTTAGCAGGTCCAAGCAACCAATTACCCTATGCTTGGTATGAGGAAAATAGAAGAGAAGGGGAGGAAAGAAAAAAAAATTTTAAATTAAAAAAGTAGGGTTATAAAATTTTAATAAAAAAATGTAAAACAAAAGAGTAATAAAAATTCTCTTGCCCATTCAATGCATACTGATAAACGCACTTGAATTAATTTTTTACTCTTTTTTTAGTGCAGATTGAGCGTTGTGAATCACATTAGATTAGAGGTGATAATACGGGCTGGTGGTACGGATATGGGCCAGCTCGTGGCGGTGCGGGCCCAAAACGGTGTGATCTGAAGTAGCCCATAACTTGACGGGTTGGCGCCTTAATATTCTTTTTTAAAAATAAACGCTATTATTATTAGTATAGGTTGAGCTTAATTTGAAATGTTAAAATTAGATTTTAAATCTTAAATTTGAGTAGTGATTTATAACAAAATAAAATGAAGATTAATTTATAATTTAAGAAGATATTTTTAAAAACTAATATATTTTTTATAAATAGTTAATTTAACTAGTTTTTTTATTCAAAGTAATTTAGTAGTTTTGGTGTTCGGGTTTTAAGGGAGTTTTAAAACAAAAACAAAGGGTTCATATATATGTGCGCGATCGTGTGTGAGACATTTAACATAGACATATCGGCGATTGATCTCTCCGGCGATATATATTGTGGTTGTGGCTGTAACTATCGTATTTTAAAAAAATAAGGATACTTTTTGGTCAAAGAGAGTGAGGATTTCAGCTTTGAAAAGCGGTGCGGGTTAGTTCGCCGAACGATCCTAAAAGCAAGCTGAGGTCACATTACCGTACTAATGATCCGGCCACTACTGATCTCTGACAAATTATAATATGAAGGGAAAATTACACTCAGGTCCCACAGAGTATAATTAATATCAAAAGGGTCTCATGAAATCGCGAAATGATTCTGAAGTCCCCAGGGACCTGTGTGTAATTAATTCCAATTGTAAAATTACCTACTTATCCCTGTTAATTTTATTGCAACAATTCGTTTACAATCTCAACAGTGGCTGTTAACAACCCGAGAAGACGTGATTGACAACCTCGGCAGTGCTCATGACAACTCACTCTATGGAATGTCAGAGGCGTTGTTGAGGTTGTTAACTACCTCTTCTCGGGTTGTTAACAGCCACTGTTGATGTTATAAATAGGTTCTAATTTTATTGCAACAATTCGTTTACAATCTCAACAGTGGCTGTTAACAACCCGAGAAGACGTGAGTGACAATCTTGACAGTGCTCATGACAACTCACTCTGTGGAATGCCAGTGGCGTTGTTGAGGTTGTTAACCACCTCTTCTCGGGTTGTTAACAGCCACTGTTGAGGTTGTAAATAGGTTCAAATTAACAGGGGTAACTATGTAATTTCACAATTCGAATTAATTACACAGAGGTCCCTGGGGATTTCAGAATTATTTCGCGATTTCGAGGGACCTTTTTGATATTAATTGTGTTCTGTGAGACCTGAGTGTAATTTTCCCTAATATGAATCACCCCACGATGGGGCTCCATTAAAAATCACAGTGATTTGGTCTATCAGGTTACTAATTACAAAAAGTTCTCTCCTTTTTTTTTTTTCAAAAAAATATATTTTATCGTACTATTTTTTAAATTTTTTTCCAGCTAAAATATTCTTCATAGAAGTATTTTAATTTAGTGAAAAACTTAAAAGTGGAGTGCTGTACATATAGCTTAATAAACACAAACTTCTTGGACTGAATATACATGCATATAATTTTTTTTTGCCATCAATATACATGTATAATTGCAACGAGATTCTAGAAAAGTACCATGCGCATAGCATGCTCCAAACATTTTTACAGTGGGGAGATGAAAATAAGAAAATGAAATCTAGAGAGGAGTGAATAAAACTAAATGGGTTAAGTAAATTGGGGTGGGCCAAGTAATAATTGTAGAACTACGTTACAGCAGCTTGTTTATTATGCGTCAATAATGCGATGAATTGGCAATTTAATACTCCTCCGGTTCTTAATATAGGATCTAATTCTTGAGTTGGTTTTGGTCCTAAATATAAGACTCATTTCTCATATTTTTCAATTTTCTCTAAATTATCTCTATGGATACTCTCTCAACTATAATCAAGTAGAAGAGAAAGAGGAGGTATTAGGAAAGATGATTATGGTGTTTTAGGAAAAATGTGTCACTTTTTTTATAATAAACTAATTTGCCTAACTTCCTTAATCTAATCAAATTAGTTAAATGGGTCTTATATTAAGGACCGGAGGAGTATATATAGGACCTAATTATTAAGTTAGTTCTGGATCCATTTTTCATATTTATTAATTTTTTCTAAATTACCCCTATGGATACTCCCTCAACCATAATTAAGTAAAAGAAGAAGCAGGGGTATTAAAAAAAATGAATATAGTGTTTTAAGAAAAATGTGTCACTTTTTTTTTTATAATTAACTAACTTACCTAATTTTCTTAATATAATCAAATTAGTTAAATTGATCTTATATTAGGGACTGGATGAGTATTTTCGATTATGGGTGATGAGTTTTGTGTACCCCATAGCCTCCGAAAGCAACTTCTAGGAATTCAATCATCACTTATTCATTAGTCTCAATATTGTCCGTGCAATATAACACACCCACACACACCCATGTCTATCGCATTTCCATGCACCCCTTCCCCCCCCCCCCCCCCCCAAAAAGCTGCACTATATGTATCCCTCATCTCTGCCACGTTTTATTCAGTCCCATAGATAGCGCAGCTAGAGAGAAACACAGAGTTCTCCACAAATTGTACATCCATACAAACAAGAGAGAGAAAGAGGCACAAGAGGTCATAGCCTTGAGCCTTCGCTGCAAGAGAGAGAGAGAGGGAGAGAACTCAGCTAGTATCACTTCTTTTCCACACAGAGGGAGAGACATCATCTCCAAACACAATCTAGAATGAAGCTGATCGATTTCTCTTTTGTCCTTATATCGTGCTATTATTGCAGGCAACATCATCTCTTTCATGGTGTTCCTTGCTCCAATGTAATTCTCCAAACTTCATTTTGGTTTCACATTGGATGACTTAAATTAGCCCAACTCATCACGGTTACGTAGGTTGGTTAATGATTTAATCATAATATCGTAATTCCATATTGCAGGCCGACCTTTTATTGGATATACAAGAACAAATCTGCTGAAGGATTTCAGTCATACCCTCATGTGGTTGCCCTATTCAGCTGCATGCTTCGGATATACGCTGCGCTCGTCAACGCGACCTTACTTCTCATCACCATTAACTCTTATGGAATTGTGGTCGAGATAATCTACCTTGCCATTTTCCTTTTCTATGCTCCCAAGAAGCTCAGGGTATATAAGTACATGTATTTGATTTCACCGTGAATTCTACCAGTAATCTTCTTTTATCGGTTCTATTTGACTTTTCCTTTTCTGTGAACAATTCACAGCTTGCGATGATTAAGCTTCTTCTGTTACTGAATGTGTTTGGGGTCGGAGCCATGCTTCTGTCCACGCTGTATCTTTCACATGGAAACACTCGTTATCAGCTTATCGGATGGATTTGCCTGGTGGTTGACATCAGTGTCGTCGGTGCTCCTCTCTTAATCATTGTATGAAACTTGTTCTTCAAATTCTAATTTTTTTAAAAATTACTTTTTTGCATGCACTGATCGTTATTAAGACAGAGTGCGGAATACATGCCATTCACTCTGTCCATATTTCTGTCCGCAAAATCTGTGATGTGGTTCTTCTATGGCCTTTTCCTCGAGGACTATTTCATTCCTGTAAGAATCATCGGGCTCTGCTCATTACCATCAGTTTCTGTTCAATTTGCAGCATTTGGCATACGAGTACGGCAAAAAAGGGTGCTCATGTAGCACTCTCTGCTCTGAGGGAGAATGCACTGCGGAAAGTTGCGGATAGAGCTCGAGATTTTGGATCTCCGAATGTTGCTCTTTCAGTCCTTAATATAAGACCTAATTGTTGAGCTGGTCTTGGTCTTAAACATAAGAACTATTTTTTATATTTATCAGTTTTCTTTAAATTATCCCTATGAATACTTTCTCAGCCATAATCAAGTAGAAAAGGAAGAGGGAGTATTAAAAAAGATGATTATGATATTTTAAGAAAAACATATCACATTTCTTATAATTAACTAACTTATCTAACTTTCTTAATCTAATCAAATTAGTTAAATGGGTCTTATATCAAGGAGCGGACGAGTATTATAATATGCGCAGATGTTTCCAAGGTTGAGGAGTGTGCCAGAATGGTCGACGAAACTGTAAATCATTTTGGAAGATAACACTCTGTCTCTCTCTCTATCTTGTTTTGATGCCAAGTTAGTAGAGAATATTAACCCCAAAATTGTACCTGTTTGCTGAGAATGTTTGATGCAGTGGATCACTTGGTTAATAATGCGGCTGTTGCCACTTCCCAGTTGTTCCAAGAAGAAACTGATATCGCCAACTTGAGGCCAATTATGGCATGAGGATCTTTTACACATATTTTTCTCTGTTTTCTGTTCTCTGTTCTTCAATGTTCTGTCTTGTGCATGTCCTCACAGGAGACAAACTTTTGGGGATCAGTGTACACGACTCGTTTTGCTTTACCACATCTAAAAACTAGCCGAGGGAAAATCGTAGTAATGTCATCAGTGGATTCTTGGATGCCCGCACCCAGAAGAAACGTGTATAGTGTGAGCCATGTCACACAATGCTTTATGCCCATAAGTTCCTTCTCTGCAATTTCTAATACGTGCTATGTTCAGGCAAGCAAAACCGCTTTAGTCTCCATGTACGAGACATTGAGGGTGGAGGTTGGGTCTGATATAGGCATAACCATAGTAACCCCAGGCTACATAGAGTCTGAAATAACCAAGGGGAAGTACTTGATGGGCGAAGGAAGGGTGGAGGTAGATCAGGATCTAAGAGATGTAAGCAATATTCATGTATAGATGACATTTCTTGATTGATTTAGGGATTAAGAAAGAAAGGCATGATGCTAATAATGGTGATGCAGGTTGAAGTTGTTGTAAATATTATGTATGGGTGTATCAAAGGAAGAGTCCCACATTACTTGGGATTGTGAGGGTCCAAGTAATAAGTGGTCTTGGGCTACCAAATGGGCCAAGAGGAGGAGTGGACTTACGCGCACAATGGGCCACCGGAGACAAATCCGGCAATTTCCCCTATCCCCCTATGCACGAGTCAAATGCGGTACTGAGCACTTTATTGGAAATATCCATCTAAATTTTAATTATAATTATGCCTCTTCAATGCTCGTGACCGAAGACTTTATTCTCCTTAAATAGTCATTAAACAAGTTAATTACTACTTGAAACCGCTCATTTAATTATGAGTTAATTATCATTAAGCGCGTTTAAATGTGCCCAACGGTATTGTGATCCGTAGCCTATAAAAGGGGCATGAGACGGAAGTTCAAAGAGGGACTGCCGTGCTCTGAGCTTTCTGGCAACTCTCTTCCCTCCTCTGGTGTTCTGCCTTACTGAGTTCTTTTACCTTTTGCTGTTCTGCTCACCCTGTTCTTACATGAAGAATCCATTTAATCCTGGGGAGTGCCGCTTCTTGCTTTGCCGGTAGTTGCGGAATAGCTCTTAAGGATAGTGTCTGTAAGACACGACTCGGATTTACCGTTCTCTACAGGTGTTGCTGTCAACAGGGTTTGCCTAGCATTATAGAGGAGGTGGAAGATCTGCTAGATCTTGGAGAATTTTGGTGCTGCCGCCAACAATCTTAAGAGCTAGTGCAACATCACTTGTTTTGGCAATAGAGTTATCGGACAGGGAGGCATCTGAACTTTGTCCTATTTTAATTTCATTTCTATTTTCTCTTGCACAAGAGGAATATTGAGTTGGTCTCACATGTTTTTTGTACATTCCTTCTAGGACGTTTTTGAGGCCTCTTTGTCTTTTATTGAGATGGTAGTAAACAGGTGCTAAACTCATGTTAACCCCTGGTAATTATAGAGGCCAGGGATGAATTGAGTGTTGAGTTTTAACTCACATACCCGGGCACGACCCCCTAATATGGTGATATGAATTGGTGGTAAATGTGAACCCGATGAAAGCATGAGTTGAGATAGTGAGTCTGATGATATTCTTGAGAAGATGGGTTTTGAGATGTGTTATATGATTAAGCTGGCCATGACGATTGAGAACCCGAGTGCCAAATTTGCCTCTTTAATAAGACTCACTGGACCTTGTGGATACTATATCTGGATGAAAAGTCTGGAGGCATGAATGCCATTATTGTGTAGAGGTGCTGTTGAGCGTGCTTCCCACGAGATGGTTGCAATACTCTCAGCTTCATCCACCGTCGCAGGTACATGTTCTTCTAATTTAATACACATTGGTGTGCTAGCAAAGTGTTAGTCAAGGTTGAAAAAAAATTATTGCAAATTGAGAGTACAAATATTGATGTGTTTATCAATCAAAAGAATTATGTGGCTCGTGAAAATTAACATTGGCGTTGATATTGAAGTTTATTATCTAGCACGTGAATTAATGAGCATTCACTATGTTTAAAGTCATCTATATGTCAGTTGTGTGAAACTGCTTATTTGACATTCAAATTAAAGCTTGAGGCTTTGTCAATTTACAAATTAAAATTTGCATGTGATATGAAAATCTGACTAGTACATGTTAGTCGGAAGAATTACTTTTTGTGTGAATGTTTCATATAGTTCCGTTATGAAGACGTTAATGGGATCTTTATTTCGTATTTTAAAGTAAATAAATTTTGGAGTGGTTATGTAATAAGCATTCAAGTTTTACGAATATCAAAGATGAAATTTAACGTTGAGTTATTGGGTGAATGTTACCGTTGGTATATTTAAGGAATTTAACTACGCTTTCTATCACTACTCTTGTATTCAAAGTTTTCAAGGTTCATCATGACGTTGGACAATATCCAAAGTGGAAATGCAATGTATTAAAAATGATTAAAAGTGTCGCATAATTTGCAGTTTTATAATTATAAATGTATTTATGGTAGGTTTTACAGTTTTGCATTGGCATCTTTCCAAGATGTGAAAATATGCTTTATTAACAAGATATTGCTGAGACTCTTGTGGAATAAGTATTTTAACTTGGAAAACGTTATTTCTTTAGTAGATAAATGTGAGACCGTTTTGAAACTGAAGTAACGGATGTCACTGGTAGTAGTATATTTCACTTGATTGAGTTTTAAGACTAATAAACAAATAGATAAATGCCATAACCCATGAGCTAGGGATAAATCAAATAATTATCGGTGGGCATATCATCTCACGGTGCTGGTTGTCTTATGACTCTACAGGTGTTGCTGTCAACAGGGTTTGCCTAGCATTATAGAGGAGGTGGAAGATCTGCTAGATCTTGGAGAATTTTGGTGCTGCCGCCAACAGAAGTGAGCGTAGTGCCGGTGGGATCAGCAAGTGGATGTGCAGAAGCAATAGTGAAGAGCGTGGCGAGGGGAGACAGGTATTTGACAGTACCGGGATGGTTCAGGATGTCGTACGTTGTGAAGGTATTGTGCCTAGAACTGGTGGAGTGGGGATTGAGGTTGATGTATATGAGGGGGGATTCGGCCAAGGAAGCATTGAGCAAGAAGATTCTGGACGCCGCCGGAGCCAAGAACGTGTTATATCAGTCTTCCATCCAAAATCCTGACGTCAAGACCGATTGAAATCCACATATATTATGAGTTCGTTTCATCCTGTTTTTCCTGAATGTGTCTATTTGAACCCATCACATGCTTAGTTGCTAGTATTAATATCAGGAATTTAGGATACCGAACGAAATAAAACCAAAACCCAGACATCTGATGAAAAAGCTCAGGAAGCAATGTGATGTCTGGTCTGAGTTATTTCCCCTTTGCTTCGCCCACGGGTTCAATGATAATATTTCACTCTACTTTTTCGCCTTCCTTCAC